TATTTCATTGAATACACCGCTAGTTTACTGTTTTTCTTTGAAATAAATATTCAAAAACATTATTGGTATCTATTTTTATTTTTGAAATTTACCGGTAGCTGCTGCATTTCCCACCCTAGGCTTATACTCGAGTCAATAACTTTTCCAGTTTTTTGTGGTAAAATTAGGTGCCTCGGCTTATATTCGGGTCGGCCTATACTCGAGTATATACGGTATTTTAGTCATATTCACTATATAATTCAAGCTTTGGATTTTAGATTTGTTTCTCATAGTCACTCCCATTCGTCCAATTTTCTATTATTCTTTCTATATCTATGTTTTTCTTAAACATCTAGTTCTCAGACTTTCTCATTTAGTCCTAGATTCTTCTGGTTAGTATTTGCATGTAAATGAAATGTCACTCCATTTTTTTCTGACATTACCCGTGGCCCTATGTCCTTCTTGATCACTAACTTTATTATAACTTCTTTGCTAGATTTACACTGCTACTATTTAAATAATGAAAATCATTTCCATTCCTACCCTCTAGGAGTAATTGATTTTTCTTGCAAAATTGCCTTAAAAGTTGTTGTTAAAATTACTTAAGTACTCAAAATTTGGTTCCATCCTGGTTTCAAGCCAAAATGTATCCGTGTGGGTAGGAGATCTAAATTCCCCTGTTCAAGAGCATCATCTCATCCCCACCCTGAAACCCTGCTTGTCTAGTCAGGTCTCTGTGTAGAATTAGTGACACTTCGCACATTATTCATCCTTGGCTTCGCTCTCTGTACTGTAGTAATTGTATTCAAAAGAATCAATGGCAGTTCTTCTTTCTTTAACCACTAATGAGATTAGCTAATCACGTTATATATTGAAATGCACAAAAAATATTGAGAGAAATATTCACTTACCCATGGTATTTTAAGGCTCTGAGAATCCAGGACAAAATGTTCATTTAAACTCCACCCTATTTCTTCTTCTTGTTTCTAGTAGTAATAAAATTCTTTTTTTACATAATATTTTGGCCACTAAACCCAATGGTTAAATAAATAGCAGCATTTGATAGAATCCAAACCAAATAAATGAACCTTGGAATTTCACCCCTTTGAATGAGAAGTGTTTGTCCAGTAATATTATTTTGCATATTGGACCATTCTTTGAACAACTGCCCTCAATACCTTGCTCCTAAAAACAGTCAAGTCTCGTAGTCACTTCTTACTTCAATTTTAGTAAACAGGGTTCTAGATGACAACTAGATGATATAAAAGTTTGAAGCATATAATCTCTTCCTCTGCTACGCATAACTGGAAAATTGTCAGATCACTCATTTCCATAAAATTGAAATCAAGAAATCCTTTTATGGAAAAACAATCTTCTGAATGGCATAATACCATTGTCCATACCATTGTCCTTACTAATTACGAAAACCAAAACACCCCGTGTAGTCTTCTTATTCAGTTATTTAGAAATGATGGCTCCATTTCAGAAAGACACAAAGTGGGGCACACACGGCATTGGGGGAGAAATCCTGCTCAGTATGTGCTTCCCATGTGTTTCTTAGTAACAAGAACAAATGTACCCAATTGTAGATGAAGATACACATGGCAGATATTACAGAAGAGAAAGGTGTTGAGAATTATTTTAGAGCTATGCTGTGGAAGGAGAAAATTTTCTTCCTTCAATCCATCACAAGAACTAATAACAATGAATAACATTAATTATCATAAGAATTGATGTAGTTCATCCGAAATGTCTCCACAAACACCCCACTTAAAACGCATGGACGGGGGTCAACAGGAAGTTCTTCAGCTGGACAGACGTGGGGTGTGGGGGCTCTTAAGACCATCTCTGATATCCTTTTTTGATCAGAACCCCCCCTGGAGAGGGGGGCGAAGAAGGACAGCGTCTCACCAGACCCAGAGGGAGGCAACAGTTCCCTCGCAGGTCGGAGATTTGCCCTATGAATCAGAGTTGGGGTGACAGTCTGCAATATGGCTGACAAGTTGCTGGCTTCTTGTCAAAGCAATGAACAGAAGAGATAAAAGACCGGTAAGAAAATGTATCTAACCCACAGCCATAAATTAAACCTGGAAAACGCAAAGAAATCTTGAGAACATAAATAATATTGATGGTCAGATTAGGATTTTTTCAAAAAGAAAGAAAGAAAAGAAAAGAAAAATGGAGGGTTGAAACACCAGTCCCCCCCCCCAAAAAAGCTATTTATTTGAAACAATTTCGGACAGAAAGGGAGAAAGCAGAGGTGACAAACCCACTCGAATATAAACTCTAAACTTGGTTTTGGATTTGAAATAGAAACCAAACATTCTGAAGGATTTACTCTGTTTGAATTTCTTCCGTCTAATATATCTTAACTCAAAAAAAAAACAAAAAAAAACCCTCCACTTCTTACTAATTACTGATAACCTAACCTTGACTGTGCAGGAAGTTTTAATTAACCATCTGCCATAAATCAGAATTTGGAAAAAAGGGAGCCTAAGAGAAATACCCGAATCTGGCTGTTTGCAAGTTTGTTCCAAGTGATATATTGTGAGCAGCTACAATCGACCAGACCAGGAAGGTGGCAAGGGAAAGAATAATAACAGAATAATAACAGAATCAAGAACTGGGAAATATGAAGGTTTTTTTTCTTCTTTTTCTTCCTCTCAGCAAAAGATTAAGATGGCCCCAGCTTCTCTTCCAGTTTCAATTAAATTTCAGGTGGATTGGAATCTCGAAATAAGACTTTTTTAATTAACTGCAATTTTGGAAATGGACATTAAAGAAGAACAAAAGACCAAGATGGCTCCCATCGCTCTTCCCCACAGCAACTGAAGTAGATAAATTTAAGGTGGATCAGAACTCTGAAATAAGAACTGTATAACTAACTGTAACTTTGGAACTGGACATTATGGAAAGCTGGGAATTTGAAGAACTATGTGAAATTATTTAAAAATTGCATAAATAATTAATATCAAGCCTAAATAGAATTCTGAACTCAGAGAAGCAGGTATTTAAAGGANCCTAGAAAGGAGTGGTCTGAGAAAACATCATGGAGAAAGGCAATTTTTAGTAGGAGGGAAACACACCAGCCACTCGGTCTTATCCGGGTTGAGTACAAGCTTGTTAACCCCCATCCAGACGCTAACAGCCTCTAGGCACTGGCACATCACGTCACGTCAACCGCTTCACTGAGTTGGCACGGGGCGGACAGATACAACTGTGTATCGTCCGCATACTGATGGTATTTTATCCCGTGCCGTCGAATGACGTGCATTGTAAATGAAAAGAGCAAAACATATCTCAGCTTCTAATATAAGTCTACCTTCCTCCTGTCTTCATTGTGTGTGTGTGTGTGTGTGTGTGTGTGTGTGTGTGTGTAGATAAATATGGATATTATCCTTGTTTTCACTCCCACCCCCAGAATATTTATGGGAGTAATAAAAATCTCAAATTCACTGTCCCCAGGGATCTATCTAAAGTTTATTCGAATTATATTTATGCTCTATGCTTTGAAATCAATGGAACCTGAGTCATAATGAAATATCCACACCTTTTCATAATAAAAGTCCTACCAGGAAAACATCCCGATATGCACTCTAGGAGACAGACTTTACCCCTGACAGGAGATTGCTCTTTGATATGAAATTCATAGATGTGTTTGGTAGGACAGTTATGCTGGCAGTCTATTAGATAAGTTGGGAAAAGGTTGAACAACAGAGACATCTCTAATTGGTTTGTCAAATGGAGACTGCCTGCTACAATGCTGTAATTAATAGTATCTGCTTAACCTGCTTGTATTCTTTTTCTAGGAACTGGGGATTCATTAATATTGCCACATGCCCGATACCGATATTCTCATGGATCTATACATTGTATAAATAAATAAATATAAATAAAATGTTGATTTCACCCATGCCTTCTAATGGGCAAACAGAGCTCACCCTCAGCATCTGCTGGATCTAAATTGTGAAACCGTGCAATACTTCAGGCTCCAAAAATGTTCTGAGATGAGGAATGAAAGACCTTCCAAAAAGTCACCGCGACCAAACCATCCTAAGGAAGAGACGGTGCCCCAGAAGAAAGAAAGAACTACTTGACAGATTGAGGGCAAAGCTTCGCTTCTGTGGAGGAGTCTAAATATGAATCTGTGGAGCTTTGTCAATGTGCCGAAGAGAAGAACCTGGCAGGGTAGACAGAGGAGACTTTGTCAATAGCCTTGGCTCCCACACAGCTCAGCCTGTTCACTCACTCCCTGCTTTTCACCTCTGCCATCCCAAGAAAATGCAGTGGGTCCTCATCTCCACCCTTCTCACAATCCTTTATGCTCAGCAGGTAAGTCAGCTCTTTAGAAAGATGACCTCGTCATAGCAAAGGCTGATCTGTTTATTCGAACAAGCCAATTTTACTTTGAGAAAAGGGTAGGGCATAATAATCAATTGCTCCTGCTTGTTTGCATTAGTTGTCTGCGTGGAGTCACATTTTTGAGACTTCGTGATGGAAATCCTTTTTTCAAAGCTTTCAATAGGTTGATAAAGTACAGTATATGTCTTTATGAGTATAAATAGCCACCCAATATAAGCTGTAAGACCCTTTATTTAAGATCGTCTTGTAGTTTCATAGTCATGAAACTAGTCATGTTCTAAAGGTACAGAAGCTGCTGTCACCTGAACTACATTTATCTGTCTTTCCATGAACCCTAAGAATTATCCAAACTTATCAGAAATAGCTTTATAAGTTAAGTCTCTCACTTTTTACTATGGATTTACAGAAGAGGCATTTTGCTTAATAACATCTTTCCCTCATGAGATTTCTACAAAGTGCTTCTATTTTAATTTCTGCCCTATGAAGTTAATTGAGAAAGCTTAAATGTTAATTCTGTATAATGTGAACACAAGTAGATCAAATTAGGAATATATTGTAGAACATGCAAAATATAAAAAAGCAAATTATTACTGTAAGGCATAAAATGGAGACATATAAAAATTTTAAGTGATTTGTTCGTCTGTTAAGCATATAGGTTATTAAGGGATATTTTTTATATATTCTTCAATATTCAAGTTGTTTATCTGTTTTACGGTGAAAATGTATTTCCTGAATCATTCTATAATTTAATTAACATAAATTAAGCTATTCTTTTACATGGATACAGTGCAATAGGATTATATCATATAATATTAATTGCAAATTGGCTCTTTGTTATCTTAATAGAATGAAAGTCTTACTTAAATTGGTGTGAATATTTCATAATGACTCAAGTTCCTTTCATTTCAAAGTGTAGGACATAAATAATCCGAATCCACCCTACAATCTACAGCAGGAAGGATTAAAGGTTTACCTGAATTTACTGATTACATATTCAGCAGATAACAGATCTGGACTGCAAAAATCTGGATAAGGTTGAATTTTGTATGTTGCTTTTCTGCCATCTGGTGGTTCTCTGGATTTTTGCAGCTCAGATCTGCTAGCCTATTTTATTTTATATCATTGCTTTTTAATTTTATTTATAATTGATTGCTCAACTCCGGTTAGTTTTTTGAATTCTGGAAAGGTGTTTTGAATTAGATAGACTTCTAGTTTATTCATTAAACCAGAATTAGAGCTGAAAGAAGTGTGGTTATAGTTATAGTGTATGGAATTAAATACAAATGAAGAAATAAAAAGAAAGCAATGATTTTAGAAGTGCCTGGTTCTCAAAAATTCAGCTTACATAAAAATATGCAAGTCCATTAGGCCTCCAACTTAGGATCTCAAGTAAGATCTTCAGCTTCCTGAATTATGCCAAATGGCTTTATTAAAATTATAACTTTTAACAATAACATTATAAAGATAATTAAAGTTTAGGGGCATGAACATTTTTATGAGCAGAAAATGAGATTTCTGACTACCTCAAGGGAGGCAAAATGCCACAGTTGAAGAATGAAGCTGGCTTTTGTTTTATTTCAATTTAAGCACAGAATCTAACACACTGCGATAATTTGCGATTGCAATTCAGAGAATTCCCAACTGGAGTCCAGGTTGGAGAATGCTGTTGCCAAGGTTATTACCTTGAATAAGGGGATTCAGTCACTGCAACATGTTGTGCTTTGTTGAAGAAACTCCACATGGGTGGGTTTACAAATAACACCCAATTCCAGTATATTGTTTTACAAATTACAATGATTGCATGCATCCAACATGTTAAGCCAAATTATAGTAGAGGCTAGAGTGCCATATGAACCTACTCTAAATGAAAAGTAATATGTGAGGAAAGCAAAATGTTCTTTGTTACAGAATATCTTAATTTGGTACTTTTTTGATCTTGCTACTCCAATAATCTTTGGGTTGTATGCTCACTGGCTGTGGTGATTGAGGGTGATATCGTCATTGTTGTCAGCCATTCAAGTCATGTCTGACCCTCGGCCACTCTATGGATCAGCACTCTCTATATCCCTCTGTCTCACACCAACTTCTTCAGATTCACCATGCTCATCCCAATGCCATCCTTTATAGTATCCAGCCAGCGGTAACTAGAGTGGGCCCTTCTACTTTTTCTGCTTATCACTCCCACCATAATTAACTTTTCGAGTGAATCATCTCTTATGACATGACCAAAGTATAACAGCCTCTGTTTGGTGAACTTGGCTTCAAGGGATATTTTGGGAGAGGTTTGATCTAGGACTTCTTTGTTATTTTTGTAGTCCATGGGATGCTTAATAGTCACCTCAGCACCACAGTTCAAAGGCATCCAGCCTTCTCCCATCTGCCTTTTTCAGACTCCAGGTTTCGCAGCCATAAGTATCAATTGGAAAAATTATTGTGTTAACTAAGTGCTATACGCCTTCTGATCTCAGGGCTGCAGTCATCACTTTGGTCGATTTTAGAACCCAGGAAGATGAATTCCTTTACTGTTTTGACAGTGCCATTGTCAATCTGCACTGTGTGTTCTCTCCAGTTGTCATTATCTTTGTTTTCTTGACATTAAGGTGTAACCCAAATTTTGGGATGATAGGAATTGTAGTTAAATTCATAATGTACTGAATCAGATAAGTACAAAGGAATCTGCCTGAAAGGACACATTTTGTGGTCTGCATTTTCCATGTGCAGTGATAGTAAAACTGATGAAAACCTTTTGCAGCATCAACATCCTCCTCCATGAACTGCCCTGGTCCATATAGCAACAGCAATAGCAGTTAGACTTATATACTGCTTCATAGGGCTTTTAGCCCTCTCTAAGCGGTTTACAGAGTCAGCATATCGCCCACACAATCTGGGTCCTCATTTTACCCACCTCGGAAGGATGGAAGGCTGAGTCAACCCTGAGCTGGTGAGATTTGAACTGCCGAACTGCCGAATTGCAGTCAGCTGAAGTGGCCTGCAGTACTGCACTCTAACCACTGCGCCACCTCGGCTCAATAGGTATTCTCTCTAGGCCAGTCAAGATATTTTGGCCATTTACCTTGATTGGTAGAAGAATATATTAATGAATCAATTTTCTGAGGTACCTGTCTTATGGTAATGTGTGCCATAAGTGGTATGGAGTGTTTGCTTGTTTGGCACCCATTCAGCAACATCCACAGCCAGTACAATGCCAGACAAAGTTTCCTTCCGTCTGGATCCTTAATGTATGTATTGATGAACCAAGCACACTTGATTTGGCTGTTTGAACCGTAGACAGAGTTGAAGAGAGCACAAAGATACGCAAGCCAATTGCAGTCCAGTTAAACCTGTTTTCACTATGCCTGCATGCCAACAAAAGTCATGCTTAGATCATGATGTGACACAGATATCCTATTTGGTGCAATTTGCCTTGACATTCCTGGTAAGGGGTGAGTTTCATTAGGTTGGTAGTCTTGTCCTTCAGAAATATGATTCTTTTAGTCTTATAAGTCTTCTTCTGTGACAAGGCTAATTATTATCCTTGTCTGGCCGGGGAAGATTGATGATAGACCTATTGTCCTCTTGCCTTGGTCTTGGCTCTTCAATGGCTCATGAGATCAGGCTGTAGGGAAACACATTAGGCATCACTATTAGGACTTCTAAGTAGACTTGTATGTGTTATGCTACTTTGTGTTTTAGGAATCATTGTGGTGAAAGAGTAGGTAATTGTACAGATTATAGAGTGTCCCACCCTCTTGTAATAATGGGGTATTAATATTCAGGATTTTGTGGCACTTGGAAAAAAGTTGTAATATTTCTTTGTAAGCTTTCCAGCTCTCAGATGAGTCCACCTGTATGAAAGCTTTCTTTCAGGGCATCAGGCCAGAGGCAGCAGCAAGGAAACAGCGGAGAAAGTGCAGCAAACAGTGAACTGCATCAGCGCCAAGAGTTATGTCACTGGCCCTGCAGATGCCCACCTGTGCCAAGCTGCAGTCCTGGGGTGAGTGTGGTGAGAGATGGCTGCGGATGTTGCAGGATGTGTGCCAAACAAGCCAACACCACCTGTAATGAAGCAGAGGTCTGTGACCATCACAGGGGACTCTACTGTGATTACTCTGCAGATAAGCCTAGGTATGAAAGAGGAATATGTGCATGTAAGTCTTCACTGTTTTCTTTTCTATTTCTATATAAAGGGACATCAGGGCTTCAAAGAAAAGGACATTCCCAACTGACCCACATTCTGTACCCGGCTATTTTTCTTCCAAAGGGACAATGAGCACACTCTGGAAGACTGACTTATAGCACTCTCTGAAATAACAGAGATTTTTTTTAGATTTGTAGATTTTATTAATATTTGTAGGCCGCCCTTTTCCCTGAGGGGACTCAGGGCGGCTCACATAAAATCNCATATTTTTCCACTTGCATTTTTTACGTGCTTTCGAACCGCTAGGTTGGCAGAAGCTTGGACAAGTCACGGGAGCTCACTCGGTTACACGGCGCTAGGGATTCGAACTGCTGAACTGCTGACTTTTCTGATCGACAAGCTCAACATCTTAGCCACTGAGCATCCCTTAATTACATGCATAGAATTATGCATCTGCACTATCATTTTGAAACTTCTAAACCAAAGTTTTGGCACCCCCACCCCCCGAGAATATCGTCTCACCCCCCACCCCCCCAGGAGGTTCGAGCACCCCTGGTTGTGAACCCTGATATTAAACGAAGGCGATGTGAAAGGAAGCCCTCTGATTAAGGAGAGCATCTCCAGCAGTGGCGGAAGGAAATCCATCCGATGGAGACCCAAGGGAGGTGTTTTTGCTACTGGTTCAGGCGCACCTGTAGCATTTCACCGCTGCTTACGGCCCATCCTATCTGGACGTAGCCTTCGCTCGCGATAGTTTTTCCAAATTAAAATTCCAAATTCCTTGCCTGCCGTTCTGTTTCTAAATGACGGGCGGGGTTTTTAAATTGCCGTCTTTAGACTAGCATCTCTCTTTCTTTCTGTGTCGGAAGGCATTCATTAAGTTTTTATTCAGGACCAAATTGAAACGGAGGAGATGAGAGGAACGGGTTGTAAGATTAGAGTTTCCAACTGCAAATCCCCACTTTTAAGTATGTTTTCTAAAGCCTGGATTATGATAAATGGTTTTCCTCCGATGGCTGTCGTGGCTCAATTTATTGCAGCAATTTTGTTACCCTTTTGCAGTCGGATTTGCAAGAGATTGGTGGGGCAAAGTGTGAGCTTTCGCCCCCCCAGTCTTCCTCCGCTTCCTTTCGCTTTTCTCCTCCCGGTTCGAAGTTGCTTGCAAAATTAAATGCAGCTTTTGGCTTAGCAGCTCCGTGAGAGCAGGCAACCCTTAGCCTTCAAATTTCAGGATCAACCTTTGCATCTCTGGCTGAAAAGGCTCCGGTTTAAATAAAATTATCCGGAAGGAAGGAAGGAAGGATTGAATTGAATTTATTGCACTTATATGCCGCCCTTTTCCCTGGAGGGGACTCAGGGCGGCTCACAATCCAAGTCAGGGAAGGGGATACAGATAAGGGATAAAAGGATGGAAGGAAGGAGGGAGGGAGGGAGGGATGGAGGAAGGAAGGAACTAGGGAGAATAGACAAAAGGATGGATGGATGTAACAGATGGGAGGGAGGGAGGAAATGGGAAGGAGACTAGAGAGATGGATGGATGGGAGGAAGGAAGGAAATAAGGAGAATAGAGATGAATGGATGTAATGGATGGGAGAGAGGGAGGAAGGAAATGGGAAGGAGAATAGAGAGATGGATGGAGGGATGGGAGGAAGGAAGGAAATTGGGAGAATAGAGAAAAGGATGGATGTAATGGATGGGAGGGAGGGAGGAAATGGGAAGGAGAATAGAGAGATGGATGGATGGGAGGGAAAGAGGAAGGAAGGAAATAGGGAGAATAGAGAAAAGGGTGGATGGATGTAATGGATGGGAGGGAGGAAATGGAAAGGAGAATAGAGAGATGGAGGGGAGGAAGGAAGGAAGGAAGCAAGGAAGGAAATGGAGAATAGAGAAAAGAATGGATGGATGGATGTAATGGATGGGAGGGAGGAAGGAAATGGGAAGGAGAATAGAGAGATGGATGGGAGAAAGGAAGGAAATGGAGAATAGAGAAAAGAATGGATGGATGTAATGGATGGGAGGGAAGGAGAAAAGAAATGGGAAGGAGAATAGAGAGATGAATGGATGGATGGATGGATGTAATGGATGGGAGGAAGGAAGGAAATGGGAGGGAGAATAGAGAGATGGGTGGATGGATGGGAGGAAGGAAGAAAGGAAGGAAGAAGGAAAGGCTGTGGTGGCACAGTGGTTAGCGTGCCCTATTGCAGGCTAACTCTGCCCACTGCCAGCAGTTCGATCCTCACAAGGCTCAAGGTTGACCCATCCTTCCATCCTTCCGAGGTGGATAAAATCCAGATTATTGGGCCGCAATAGGCTGACTCTGTAAGCTGCTTAGAGAGGGCTGGAAAGCATGATGAAGCGGTATATAAGTCCGAGTGCTCTTGCTGTTTGTGAAGGCGGTTTCATGGCAACGCATTCATCAAATGTCCCAGGATTCTGGTGCTCCGTCTGGGTCCATTTTTGATGTGATCCATGGACATCGGCCAACGTGGCTTTTCCTTTGTCTTCAACTCCAAATCGCTTTTCCTGAGAGCCTTAGGAGAGAGACAAGATCCGTGGCTCTTGGAGACCCCCCCCCCCCCCGAGAGGTCAAGAGGTGCTTTGATAGGGGAGCTGTGGCCAGAAACATTTCAACCCTTATCAGCCCCTCCTTTAATCAAGCAGGGTCCTGGTCCTTCTCTGCGGCAGGAGCTGATGGTGGGTGGCCCATAATCTCCCACCCACCCCCAGAAGACCCCCTCTCCTTTGCAAGGGGTACTCAAGATTTTTAGGGCTGGGAATTGCAAGATTCGCGGCTTAAACATCCCAATATAAATTTCTGCAGCCTGGATTGCTCAGTTTTGGGCTGTGGGTTGCAAGGGGAATCTTCCTGCAGCCGTGTGTGTGTGTGTGTGTGTGTGTGTGAGAGAGAGAGAGAGAGAGAGAGAGAGAGAGAGAGAGAGAGAGAGAGAGAGAGAGAG